TAGAACGCATATTAATTTATGTTTTGAAAAATAATTTGTGTTGCTTATATGTAACTTATAGCTATAAGACATATTTATTTCGTAAATATTTAATGCAATACTCATTTTTACTGTACAATCACTTTCATTTTTGATATAACCTCTTACAGTCCTTTGAATATAATAGATTGAGACTTTAATTGTTTTCTGTTTTAAATATTTTTACTTTTCTACAAGCCACGTTTTCAATTTCCCGATGTTAAAACTCTTCTTTAGAATGTAATTTGTTAGTCAGCATTCCTCAGCACTTTTCTATAATTATTTAAATCGACGGATCTCACATTTTTTACATGAGCGAGTTCGTTGATCTGTGAAGCGTAATCGCATTTCTTTGTGGCGGCGTTTTTATTGGCGGTTTTGTTAAATGCCTTGAACTCTATATTATTTGTTAAACTGTTCTAGGATTTATTTGTGTGCCGGTTTCTATTGTTATCTACTGTGCTATCAGTGTAGAATTAAATGTATGCATTAAAATGGCTTCTTTCCCCGCAAAATTGTTGTTTCTCGATGATCAAATGCATTTTTTTAAATAAAATTCTTGCTATATTTTAAATGATTAAACAGAACAGAATATTTCTTCCGAATATCTTGGAAACTGTTGTCAACGAATAGTTTTTGTTCTTTGAAACATGTTAATCGCGTTCACTGCGCTTGACCTTAATTTTTTCTTTGCGGTATTTTATACAAATAAACGATAGGACGAATTCACTATTGTTATTAATATTGCATATTCAATATTTCGATCGAAATTCTCTACCTACACCGTTCGATTTTCCTACTTAATAAAGATTGTCTTATAGTACTGTCGCATAGTGCATCCACTTAATTTTGTCCTCGACTGTAAGTCATTTTACTTTCGGAATAAGACCGATTCCAATTGTAACAGAACACCGCTGTACAATATTGAAGAAATCTAGCGAAAGTTTGTCGATGATTCTACCAAATTAATGAAATCGAATAAAAATTAATAATCCCGCAGATCACGTAATTGAGGACGTAAAAGGGGGGGGGGGTGTATCTACGGGTGGCTTCCCCCCTTCGGTACTGTCACCGTCAGCTGACTCGTCGGTTCATCGTCAATTCATCGTGCACGACAAGGTTGTTATGACTTTTTTAATACTCCGTTACGTACTGTATCATGTTCACACTGTCGTTGTCATTGCCGTGTGAGAAACCGTGAAACAAACCTGTTGACGGTGAACAGTTTACATTCAATGGAAACGTTGTTCGAACTCGTCTATTTAGCCGCTGAGTCGAGGAACATTAGTTAGGTTCGCATAACCTAACACCTGCGGACAGACGATGTTGTCGAAATGTACATGTCTGATGTGTTACATTGGCTGTTCTTCCAGAAGTTCGAGTGAATCGACTGGAAAATTATGTGATATTTCCATTCCCTTCTGGATCCTTCAAAGTGATGGCTTCTATTTGTCGCCGATGGAGACTATGGATTTTACCAGTTCTGACTTGTCTTTATGCCCTTCTTATTATTATCCTCGTGCCTATTTTGTTGGCAAACTCTATTGAGAATGGCTTCAAGAAGCAGGATCAGGGAGCATTGGTTGGGGGTGCATTCGTGTTGCTTGCATTACCGATTGCTTTTTATGAAATTGTGCAACACATGATATATTACACACAACCCAGGCTGCAGAAATATATAATCAGGTGAGTCAACTGTTTAATACTGTTTGGTTTAATTAGGACACGATACTTGTTGATCTTCAAAAACTTAAAATAATACGTCGCTATAATTGATCAATAAACATACGCATGTGTATGATATATTATTCGACTCTAAATGACGAATGAAAAATAAAATAAAAAGGAAAGGTAAATTTTATTTTATACTGGAATGCTCGTTTGTGTAACTTATGTAACTTTAAGTTTTAATCAAACACATGTATGTTTAGGCATTGAAGGTCAATAAACTTTATTCATTGACCTTTAATGTAAATATCAAGAGGTACAGATATAACTAAAGACCACAAGTGAATAAGTCTACTTTTTGGAGTAAATCTAAATTTTATTAAAATCATGAAAGTTCAATTTAATTTTTTCATAGCTTTATTGAATTATAGCACTTAGTTCTAGCATTATATTTAGTATTTAACAAGTAAAATCATTATATTCTAGATTATTAAAATAGAGGAAACAGTATGAGGACAATATTATGATTGAGAGAGCAATAAATCAAAGTTCATTTTCTTGAGAAGCTGACATACATATCATAGAACCTGATGCATAGTTTAGCATCACAATTGGCAATTGGTAACATTTTTTTGTAAGGAAATCTTAGGTGGCAGTAAAATATATTCTTATTAATTAAATATCTCTGTAAAATTGAAGATTCCTTTAATATATTAACACTTACAGTTTTTCATTTTCTCAGAACTGTTAAATGTTAATATTGCAAAGTATCTAATCCACTTTTAAGTACTACCGATTTATCGCTACGCAATCGTCTAGGTTCTAGACTGTTTCCTATACATACTGATATCGATCTAACTTTCATGTACCGGGTGCTCCGAAAATCCGCGACTATTGATTCAACACCCGAACGACGCAATAAGAATCTTTGTCAATTATAATTATGATTGATTATTATATCATCATATTTTAATTATTAATATAATAATTGCGATTATAATTATTATTAGCTTTTCATAAAATGAAAGCATAAAATGAAAAGCTTCATGATTAAGTCTGACCATTATTAATTAAGTTCCTCTACTTATTTCTCAGGATATTATGGATGGTACCAATATATGCAGTGAACGCTGTAAGTATGCCCTCTGTTCCATAAAATTATAATATTATTTGTTATAAATATTAATGAAAACATGTAAAATGTTGATAAACTGTCCTGGATTTTTTACAGTGGCTTGGTCTGGTTTACCCAGAAGGGAGCATATATGTGGACAGTTTAAGGGAGTGTTACGAGGCTTATGTAATATACAATTTTATGATGTATTTATTGGCCTATTTAAACGCGGATCGTCAGCTAGAACACAGACTGGAAATCTCTCCTCAAGTGCATCATATGTTCCCATTGTGTTGTTTACCTGACTGGGAAATGGGAAGGGAGTTTGTACATATGTGCAAGCACGGAATATTACAGTACACTGCTGTTAGGCCTATATCAACTTTGATATCATTGTAATTATCTAACTGTACTATACGTACAAAATAAGTCGCGATAAATGGAACTTCTAAATATCTTCACTGAAATTGAAAGTGAAATAAACACGTCTAGAACAAAAGTTTCATTATGAAAACATATGATCTAGATGAATTTTCTGTTTTATGTCATTGATAAGATCATTTAACGGTTATCAATGTACTTTTGTTAGATTAGTAGAATCTCGATTAATTTGTAATAATCGAGGTTCTACTATCGATGTTACTGTTAGGTGTTCTCTTCCTTGCGACTTACTCTGCATACTTGAAGTGCATAATATACAGATAGCACTTGAAATTTTTCAGTATTTGCGAGCTTAACGGAGTATACGGAGAAGGAGAATTCAGAACGGACGTCGCGTTTCCTTATATGATAGCTGTAAATAACTTATCGCAATTCGTAGCCATGTACTGTCTGGTGCTTTTTTACCGTGCCAACGCAGAAGCTTTGAAGCCTATGAAGCCGGTCGGCAAGTTCTTGTGTATTAAAGCAGTCGTATTCTTCTCCTTTTTGTAAGTTAAATATATCATCCGTGGCATCGACGCATAAGATCAGCCTACTATAACTTGTCCTTATGTTACAGCCAAGGTGTAATTGTTTCGTTGTTGGTGTACTTCGATGTTATATCGAGTATATTTGACACAAAGGATATGGATGATATAAGGAATATATCGTCGAAACTGCAGGATTTTCTAATTTGCATCGAGATGTTCCTGGCTGCGGTTGCTCATCACTATAGCTTTTCTTACAAACCTTTTGTAAATCTAGCACAAGGTCAAGCATGGTGGGATGCATTCAGGTAATAACAATCACATTCGTAGAACAAGTTCTTAGTACAGATATTTGTAAACAATCAATGTCGCCTGTATCAAAAGCAAAATATTATTGACCGTATTATCTATAGGGCCATGTGGGACGTCTCAGACGTACACAATGACATAAAAGAGCACCTGGGCGTGGTGGGATCTTCATTGAGTCGCAGGATACGTGGTCGCAATGCTTATCAACAAGCGTGGGGTAGCGCCACGGAACGTACATCACTTTTACCTGAGGCCCCGGTGATTGCGGCCAGAAGTGCACCCGCGTGTTCCTTTTCCGGTTACAATACGGCTGAGATTGGACAGAACGACGGCGTCGAAGCAGTTCCAGATGTGCAGGATAGCAGCAACGCGGTGAAGACGTAACTCAACGGTGATATTTTCTTCTTCTCTTTGGACTCGAGAGCGGGAACTCCAAGACGTCATCTTGTTTGGAAGTTTTGTCCAAGATCATCCTGTATCGCTAGTGCATTGTACGATTGAAACAAAGAAGTCTAGTTTTGCAAGGAGCATCCCCATGCCCCCCCCCCCCACCCGCCCAACGTATACTGTACAAATTGTCATTGTCCTAATCACCACCATATGCTCATTACGAGAAACAACGTGTCACACATATACGAATTAAGGATTTGATACACGGTACGTCAACGGCTGACAGTAAGTATCGTCTTACCACGTCCATTTTACGAATACGCTTTTTTCCTCTTGATTTGCGGGCAAGCATCATCGCGCCTTCATGTTACCAAAATGATGTACTACCAAATAATTGTATATAATAATGTTTATATTTAGAACAATATATCGGTACAGTCCTATTTATAAACGTGTTGCGCTAATTATCGCTGGTTATCGACCTCTGGCAATACTCGGCTGGACAGAGTTAGGCATGTTATGCAAATAAATTGATAAATTTTACCAAATTACTTGATTGCTTAGATTTCGATTGACCGCCATTAGAGCTTATATTATTTATCTAGGAGATTAATCAACCGCTCAACTCTGACCCTGAGTATACCGTAAACAATGAGGAAAAAAAATATTAAACATTCCTGCCAAATGTACATCGTTGTTTAATTTTATATCAGCTGCGTTGAATAGAAAATATACGGAGAAAATAAATACTCAGACTCACACACACACATACATACAAATATATTTTAATACGCTAACGACAAGTGAAAATTGGTATTTTGAAAGCAGTAAACGAGACGAGCCGACTAGAACAAATAAATTTTCTTGTGTCGTTCTTGTATTTTAATACACATACACACGCGCTACACATATTCACATCATGTTGACCTATATCTCGTGCATAAGTGGTGTTAATTATTATAGAGAGAAATTTGACGAGAAACATTTTATTTTGTGTACGTTTAGAACGAATAATTTTTACAAAATTTTTCGTAATTTTAATCGAATAAAGGTTTACAAATGCTAGGGGATATTGCGAGTTTTTGTGAAGCATTTGCGTGGAAGTGTACGAATTTGAGATACTTTATCAGACATTTTGGACCAAAGATAGGATATTTTTTATCTCAGAGAAGTAGCATCCTCAGATTTCGAAGACAGATTAGAGAAATGACCGTAGTATTTCTGGCTGACCTAGCAGTTTTATATCGTCAATTAGATCCTCGAAGGAAAGGAAAATATTTTTAATATGTTTCTACCAGGTTATTTGTAACATTGCAATGTATGTGGAATAATTAATTATTATTTTCACTTTACAATAATATTAATAGGAATAAAATTCGTCAGGATACGTTGTAAATTTTACATACAACCAGAGAAATTTTTAATATAGATTGTGTATTTTAATAATCTCTACTAATCATATACAATAGCATATCTCAATTTCATAAGTACTTAAGTCGGCGACTTTGCTATCACTGACAAACTTTCTGGGAGAATGGTGGTTATAAATACAATAAAAAAAAAAAAAGAAAAAAAGAATATTCGAAACGATATTTGTATAGAATTATATGTATAGAGTAATTTTTATTATATCATCAAGAGAATATGACTATTCATTTTCACGTTATTGTTCTTAGAAAACGATAATCATGAAAATCTTTGCCGTGCCTTTCGCATTTGAAACACATTTAAAAATCACTCATTAATTATCTGTTCCATTCCTTTATTTCAATAGATTTCCTATCCGTACAACGTTTGTTCCATTCATTCCATGTATGCATAGAAACAATATGTACAAAATGCAAATTGACCGCTATTGTTTTCACATTAATTGTCTGTCAGATGTGTGAGGACTACTATTTACACTCGACATGCTATTATACATGTGCGCTGTATAATACGTATATTATGCGTTACTTTAGAAATGTTTACCATTATTTCGGTACGATCAGCATCAGCTTTTCTCACGAGAGAACCTTTGTCGAACGAATATATAATTTTTAAATCATTTAAATATTGAGAATGGGATGCATATGAAACGATGTCCCTCGGATACAGAATATCTCATAAAAACTGACGACTAGTGGTTATTCTATACCGATACTCCATCGTTCAGTAACAAGATGTATTTAATATCTAAGCATTCGCGCTTCAACCACCAGGGCTGTTATCATTTATCACATACCATATGGATCTGGTTTCGAATATCTACATCTCCAAATCATTCTCTTCATTTCTCTTTATTCAGCGCCTGAATGAATTCCTCCAACTTCTCTTGAATTTGTCTGACACGTTCTGAAAGAAAAACTCAATTCAACTCCATCACGAAAGCAATTTCGTTTGCAGTATGGTGTCTCCTTCGTAGCATTACGATTTTACCCTCACCAACTTGTGAAAGTATTTAATACACTTACTGAGTTCTTCGGCTAATGTGACTCTTCTACTAGTCAACAATTGCTTCTTTATACTATTATCCTGACTATAGTCCTCCAGCACCTCTTTTAATTCTTTATGAAGTCTACGAGTTTCACGGTTAATGATCTGTTGTCGTAGTGCATTGGCAGTGACTTTCAGCATCTGCTGAATTCTGCAGAACAACACCACGCCGTGACACTCCACCTGAAAACGGGTGTTCAATAAAGAACTAATTTTTCTCATAATTCTCGTCTAACATACTTCTTGCTCGTGTCCGGTGTGGTATAGATAATATGCTTTTCTACAATCGTACGCTTTGGCCAGACTCTGCTGCAAGAAGAACCTTCTGTAAACAGGATGCCATGTTTCCTGAATAAATTTATTATTAATCTGTAGGCCATTGCGTTGCAAATTCTTTCTGATTGTTGTAAGCTCATCCTGCGTGAGAGTGGATGCGTGCCTCTATTAACAAAAACAATATATTTTACCTTTGTGTTAGAATATTTTCACGGTGTAGCATGATTTTTTTTTCTCCTTACTTTGTCCACGTACAGAATTTGATCTAACTCATTCTTCACCGACAAACGTTTCTGTTGTTCTTCGGTTTGACTCTGCCAATAAAGCCAACGCTCTGTACGGCCAGGTCCTAACATTTCTCGCAAAACCTGTTCAGTTGCTTGCAATCTATCCCGAATAGACGTCTCCAAAAAACGCACTGCCTGGTCCCAATCTCTTTTGTCATTCACGTTTCTGTCTTCCAAGACGTTCAGTTGTATGACCCGTAACATTTCACACGCCTGTACACAACAGTGTTCATACGTTCACCATAATTAATACAACTAGCATTCAAATATAAATTGCTAGAAACATTTACTTTCTCTTCCCAGGAATATCGTCTCATCGCCTCATTGATCACTGCGTTCTTCAAATTGTCGAATATCTTATCGTGGTTGGGTTTCAACTTCGCTTCATTTATTAAATGCTGGAATTCGTGTTGCAAACATTCCCAGCCACTCTCAACACTCTTAGATGGCAATTGTTGCTCAGTCCACTGTCGAAGTTTTATGTCAACGGTCGTATTGAATGTACCTAAATTTGCAATCATTTTCGCGTGTTATTGAATTGTAACAGTTGAGTTGTTACTACTATGATCAATATACCTAAGTTTCCAGTTTGAGCGGCCGGCAAATAGATATTTTCGAACACGTGCGTACTAACTTTATCCCATATTTTAATCGTTAGTAGTTCGTCCCAATGTCTCGGTGAAATCTGAGATAGGTTTACAATTTCGTCCAGTATCTCGCCTCGTGCTTTTTCAAAGAGTTCGTCTCGGTCTAATTCCCTCAGCCTATATAAAACCATAATTACTTTAATCAAATAAGTATATTTACTATTCTCCTACAACACTCTACGTATCTTCGAGTATACGATTTTAGTCGATCTTCACGAATTTGTAGTATTTTTTTTTACCTTGGGAAATTATTTTTCCATTCCGTTTCAAGATTATATCTCGTGGCTTTAAATGCATCAGCCTGCTGCTCCACTGTTTCACGAACCATTTTCCAAAAACATTCTGCGACTGCGAGACTCAGATTTCTTGTAGTCACCTGTCCAGACATCGCTAAACCATCCCTGTTCGAATAATTAGAAATGATCAAGCACATCCAAGCTTCGTAATATTTCAACCATAATTGTAAACATACTTGAACAACTTCGAATTTCGAAAGAATTTTTCTTCATAGTCTCTAATCGTTTCTATGCTGTCATCCTGTCTTCCACGACCAGTGACCACAGCGAAGTAGCCTAATGCTTTCATAGGAAATAATTTACCAGATAGTATTTTACGTAAACGATCCGGATCGGCCAAATTTTTCTCTGCTAAGTCTACCTATCGATTTTAATATATTATAAAATCAGTCCCATCATATTTCCAAAATTCACATCAGTTAATTGTTAGCGTCATTTTACCTTTGTCAAAACAAAAATAGTCCGTTTTCCTGAAGGATCCATGTGTGCGACAAGATCTGTGACATTGCTTCTTTCAGCATCCACAGAACCGTCTTGGATACAAAGAATAATCGCGTTTGGGTTACTCATGTATTGCTGAGACATCTGTCGAATAGCATCTCGAGTATCTTCTGCCATATCAATTGTAACTGTCTGTTGCAAAAGTTTCGTAAGTTACGAATGGCCTCTTACAAAAAATCGAATTGAATCAAGGTGTCACTTACACTAATTATTCCAGGCAAATCAACCAAAACCATTCGCTGAAGACCTGGTCCTTTCACCGTCATTGCAATAACATCCTGACTGACTGTTTTTCCATCTTTAACACTATTCTTCATGCGCAGCTCTACTTCGCGTCTCAAATCAGCCAATTCCGATTCTTTCGATAGATCAAACTCTCTGGAACTGTCTTTAAATTGAGCTATGTGGTAAGGTCCTTCGCTTAAAGTGACTTTCACTGGGGCTCTTGTCATCATCTCACCACCTCCTCTGAAAGTATATCATTGAGAAGAAAAGTTGTAGTGGAATTTCTGCATAAAGAAATTTAAGATCAGAAATTGCTACGTTACCTAGGAAATATTCTTGCCTGAGCAATCATTTCTAGGACCGAAGTTTTACCAGAACTCTGATCACCAACGACTACTACTCTTGGTAAATGATCTGCAGTGGAATAAGCACTATCGTAATCGCTAAGTTCATCTAGAACGTCACTGTACATGTCTATCAAAGATTTCTAGAAAAATTTATAAGAATGTTAATACACGAATATCAACAGTTTGCAATAACGAAACATTTGTAAACAATTTAGGTTGATTACTTTTATTTTCCTGTTTTTTAGTTTCTGATTACCACGTAAAAGCATCTGCTTTCGAAGCTCTTTATTTTCTTTTTCTAATCTTTCAAGTTCACGTTGATATTTCAGTTGCATTTGCATAATTTCTTCTTGCATAGCGTTCAATCTTTCTTGCGAGTTTTCTTAAAAGAGGAGTTGGAACGTGCACAATTAGAAGTTGCAGAAAGTTTCATTAATTAATTTATGATACACTAACATGTACATACGAGCTTTCTTACGTTCCTCTTCAATATTATCATCAATTAATGGCTTAGCGAATGCTACTGTACGATTCAAAAATTGATCCTTCGTTTCTGTTTAATAAAACATTTAGAATTTCAGTGAATTAGGGCAAGTTGCAAGAAAGCTGGTAATTGCTAACAATAACACTTTACTATAACATTAATGTATTTAATACCTACAATTATTGAGGATCAAGTTTGATTAATAGTAATTCAATTGCAGAAACATTGCTCAATGACTGTATTAATCTTCTTTACAATCAAATAGCCACATATAAGTATCAGCAAAGTGTTAATGTTAATGATACAACAAGCAACCAAATATTAAAAAGAGAAAAATATGCGCTGCGGTGCGGAAATTAATGATGAAATAATCTGATTTGACGAAATTTAAAAGAAATCAAAACGGGTCTGTCCCATTCAGTATTTAATTTTGTTTTCCTGTTCAACCGAAAGTAAAAGCGAAACTGTTAGTCGCATCTCATGAATATATACAATACAAATTAGATCTATCCTGAATTTATGAAAAAAAATGCTGAATGGACAGACAGTAATACAAGGATAATTTCCGACATTTTACACACCTGAGTGAAGTTGCTTTACTATTGCTGTGATACCGTAAAGTATACCTGAACAGAGCAGACCATAATAAAATAACTCTAAATATAAGGTGGGACAACGTAATTGAACAATATTACAACATACAGGTTATTGACTATTAAGACGTGAATGAGACATAGGGAAAAGTCAGGTAGTATCGACCAAAGTTAGTTCTAGCTTTTTCCATCAAATTATGGCACTAAATTTGAATAAAATAGATGGATATAATAATTCTGTGTTACATATTTCTTAACCATATTGTTCATCCCATTGATATCGCTGTTGTAATACATGAAAGAGAGAGAGAGAGGTATAGTATTGTAATTCGAAGTGTTAAAAGGTATTTTCTAGAAGTGGTGTTTTGTTTCTCAGGTAAGTAAATGCTTTTGCTTTATTGTGTACGTTTAACAAAATTTTAATTTTCATTGACTCTGGTCAAGATATAACTAAAAAATGTAGAGCTATCTGTACTACCCAACCTTTCCTTACTATAAAATTGTTTGCTAATTATACAGATTAAGGACCACCTCACCAATTTCAATGAGCTTCAAGTATGTCATCTGGAACATTACATATTTTGAGAAACTTTTTCTTCGACATGTTACTGCCATTCTTATCATGAATGTTTGAAACTACATTTAATATTGTCATATATGCATACATTGGAATGTATGCATATGTAAATGTAAATATCTCTTTTTTAAATTACATCTACAACTAATTTCATTGAGCTAACCAGCAAATTTAATGAATTAAAGATAAAGCTTGCTTGCGGTAAATGCTCCGTAGCGTTGCCACTAACATTATATGTGATGGTGTTTGATTTAGATTCTTAATCCTTGAGGTGATTAAATATTCGTTTCTTAAGCGCTGTAGCTAATTTTCCTATCTGTTATTTGATATTATGTATGCTCAAATCTTTATGTAAAGAATCAGGTGATGTACCATGAGTTGGCAGCAATAGTTCTCAGTGCTTTGTTCTGGAACCTTTGGATGATATTTATGTTACTTTTCTTGGGACATCTCCAGAGTTGTACCCTATATGTCCCAATTGGAATAATGGTGACCTTATACAGGCATAGTTTATTGTGTAGTGTAAGTTTCGATTTTTGTCCCAGAATCCAATACATGATTTTCATTTTGTGGTTAAATAAATCTATATTTAACTGTAATTATTTTCGATTTACGTCTCCATATCTCGGAGACGTAAGTCGAATGGCGATAACGTATACATATAGGGAAAAGTTATTCAGAACAATAATTTTGATAACATTTCTCCCCATTAAAATCATAGAGGTGTACCCTAATCTGCGTAATAACTAATTATTAGAATAATTAAAATATGAAATATATGTGTAGTTAAGATTACTCTATGTATCATACATGTACACATATTAAGTTTGGATATAATATGCCAAAATGACATTTTCCTATTAAATACGTTTAATAAAAAATTCTACATGTAGAATTATACTTAGAATAGCTTCTTTTACCTATATATTCTATTTAACATACTCTGATATTGGTCAAGTCTATATCAAATGTATCACTTTATATTAAGAAAATATATAATAAATTAGTGTGAAAGTTGTGATGAAAGCTTATAATACAGCTATGACTATAATCAGACTATGATAAGTAAGAAAACGGGCAAATTAAAGAATGGATAATAAGGATGTGATGGTAACATAGATAGCAAGATTTTCAGCATGCAGTGGTAGAAAAAAAAACAAGACCTGGAACAACTCACTCTTTGATGATACTGCTGCACTTGTATCATCTCCATTATCGTTGGCTGCTTGGATAGCATCATCCAATCTCTGATTAAACCAGTTTCTGTATTCTCTATACTTAGCTTCCCCATACTGCTTTATACGTGGATCTGTTTATTTGTTCATGCTTTATAGCTCCAACTTATAGTGCCTCACGTTTTCACATATTTAAACACTATTTCGTTTCCTTGTACTTACCAATCTCTATGTTATTTGCTATAGAGTCCTTAACAGTCATTAGCGTTCCACGAAAATTTTGCCACTCTTTATTTTGGGGAAGAAAATCATCTAACCAACTCATATCAGGTAAAACTTCTTTCCATTGTTCATATTTCTAAAATGACATAAAGATGATAGTGTGAGACATATGTTTGGAAAAAATTCAATTTTTTCAGCATGTTTCCTACCTTTTGTAATGTTACTCCTCCACCAACTGCACCACCCAATAATAAATATCGAATTTTTAAAGCACCCCTCAAAATTCTTCCAATAAACATTGCGTATGCACGATTAGGGTTTCCAAAATATCGTACATGGGGTGAGGCTAATAATGGTCGATAGATTCTGCTCATTCCATATGACATTAATTTTCTTGTACTGATTATGGACAGTGGATATCTGGATGACTTTGAGATCAGCAAAATGCTATCCCTGAAAAGAAAAGTCTATCTAATATTTTACACACAACATGATTGTTTTACAATAACTGTATTTATTATAATAACTTTATTTCTATCCGTATTATTCACATGTTATTACTTCAAGTTTAAATCTTTTTGATTTGTACGAAAAACTCTAAATAAATTACAAAATAAGACCTATTATAAAATAGAGCTTGAGGTGAATGTTCTTCATACGGTTTAAAAGTACCATAAGAATATTCATGCATCATTTTTATATAATGAAAAAGGACAATGCTATTAAATAAATAAAATAGTTATTAACGGGAAATTCAAATACTTTTATGGATTTAATAAAGTACGACGACATAACCTAAAAATTGCGAAACCTGATAGTATAAACATACAACAGAAGTATATTACGAGACATAAAAATAGATTACGCACGATTAAAAGATTTGTTTATTTGTGTTCGTTTAATTAATAATTCGAATAATCTTACCCTATTTTGCCACACAGAATTTGTTTCATTTTGTAAGACACCACTCAACGGCGAGATGTGAAAAATAGTTACTAAAATATACTTTCCTCGACGTTATACATATAAAATATCAAACCAGGCTTGTAAAATTTTTCTAAAATTCAATGCCACACAGCATACACTAAATTAATAATCCATCATTTCGTATGCCAACCTATTCATACGATGTACAAAAGGGGAGACATTGTTTTTCGAAAGCACATGCGTGAACTTTCTTCATATTTGTACGCTTGCCAATTATCTGAATTGGTTCTGGATTTCGATGAATCGCAGCAAAATCGCGAGAAGCGTTAAATCAAATTTATGAATTTATGTAAATTATACGTCAATTTGAAGAAAAAAGATACGTTGCTGGTAATTTTTGTTATAAAGATACATCATATTTATAAAACTGGAAATGATTAAATATGTAACGTTTTCGGATGTACTTTAAATTTTCCCGCGTTTTTGTAAATTCAAAATACACGATTGGTAATACACTGTGGATTCTTTGACAAATTTGAATCTAATTATGTAAACTGCATGAATGTTGAGTGTTACATTTTTTGCTAGAATTTACTGCCTTTTTTACGATAAGGGAAAGCGACGACAATGCATTGAAGGAGATTCAAAGATTTTAATTTGTAAATCGTAAAATTTTCTAGAAAATGAACGGCAATGAATAATGGAAAATAAATTCGTTTAAATAAAAAATAATAACTGGAAATATCGCCCGGATGTGAAGATAATGTAAATACTTTTCCATTATAAAAGGAATTTTAAGGTTAAATTAATAGGTATAACTAATTTTGTTTGTTTGTTTAGTGTGTATATGTATGTATCAACGAGTTTCCTTATTTCTATCTAATATCAACTATAATTACTTTCAAGAAAAGAACTCAGATCAATGAAGGTTTATTGAAATTCACTTGAAATTTGCTACACCAAAGCTATTCCGTGTGTACCACACTTCGAGATACCCTGTACATACACGTTACAATGCAAAATAACGTATGACATCTGCGTTTGATCATGCTTCGCAAGCAAGGTTCCTCATTCATTCCATAACACGTACCATTAGGATGTGATTCTTTAATAATTTTATTTTTCCTTTACAATCCTTATATTACAAAACATACCTTTCCAGACACATTGAAAATATGCTCTATTTACATTGGATTGTTGTCTAGTTTTGTGCTAAATATTTCTTTTCATCTTGTCATCGCTGTCGTTCTGGTTGTTCATCTTTACAGGAATATAATAATTAATAACTATTCGCATAGGCTTTCGTATATAATAATATGATTATGGCAGTACATTTACATTAAAGTCTATGATCTTTTTTTTTGTAATTGTTTCTGTTATACATTCAATTTATTCTCTCATATTTATATTCATATTTATATATACGTATACATATATATATATAAATATACATACACATACGTAAACATGTATATATATGTATATATAATTTTCATCTCATTTATTTATATACTTATATATATGTATGTGTACATATATATATATATATAATTATTTATATTTATACCATATGAAAAACTACGGTACTTAGAATTATGTGCATCAACTAGGCGTACGAAAGGAAAGTTTTCTATCATTTCTCCTCTGCTTTGTTTATTGTAAGCTTGTATATTCCTTAAATACGTGGCGATCATCACAAAATCATTGATGACGCGACATGAGATCTAGGAATTCGAACGCATCAAACGGAAACAAGAGGTTTTGCATTGAAATGGTTATGAACGCGCAAAGCAAATCCTCGAAACTCTTGGATTTCTATTACAAACAACTACGAAAAGGAAAAACTCGTACGGCCGAGTAAGGCCGACCATGTTTTCGTGTTTCTTCTTTTCAAATTTCGCGATATGTACGATCACAAGAAAACAAAAGCCAGCGAAAGCGCTATACTCGATTGGACCCCAGTTTACAATCGTCCTTCAAACAATTAAATTTGCCACCCTCCTTTCCCTACCCCATTTCCGTTTCGTGTACCAACTTAATACATTTTACTTCCTCTTTTTTTTTAATAATATTTTTGATCAGTCACCTAAAGATCATCCACTAGGGATAACTAAACGTTACAAATGTTCTAGGTATTGTCTAAAGGTGCTCTTTTTTTATTTTCATACAATTTTTTTTGTCAGTTTCTCATGTAATTAATTGCGCTATTTCTCACATTCAGTCTAATGGTAGATAATATTTATAATATTTATAAGAGCTTGGAATCATAATTATCTCTTAATGTAAATACGAGCTTGCCCTTTAACGTGAACGCCAAGCTGCTATGTACAAGATTAACCTAACCTGCCCCGATCTTCTTTCTCATAAAAAAACACAAACAAAAAGAAAATTAACATCTCGGTACAATGCGACAACGAAAGAAGTCGAATTTCTTCTTGGCAGTACATTGCGATTTTGTTCATCGTTCGATAGAACAAATAAGCGTCGATTGTAAAAATTTAAACGCCATGTGTCTACGAGTAAGATCATTTGCCGTGAATTAAAAGAACATTCAAAGGGAAAAAGGAATTAAATTCGACGCCGATGTGTCCTTTTGCCTATTCGATAAAGAACACAGAGAAAGCTACCAGATTCATCTCCTCTCTCTCTACGACACAATTCATCCCCTAATTAGCTAATCCCAAATTTTCGTTCTACGAGATACGAACAGACTAAAAATTGTTTTGTTTGTAGTCCTTGTTGCAGCGTGGCAACTTGATTCATCTACTTCGATGAACTGAATTCCTTCGGTTACCACATACCTAAGACTAGTATCAAAAGATCTAGTTACGCTATACTTGTTACAAAAGTTCCACTTCTATTCTTTTCATCTAGAATCCAGACATGCGGTTTCTTTGATTTCTGTGGAGACACAATGTGCTAACCCAGAAAGTGTGTTCCTCTTATTTGAGGAATTGAATTTCTTTCGTCGCTAGCGATCACTGTCTTTTAAAGACCACTGTGTGTTCTCTCGATTAAAGAGGAAATACCTAAAAATTCTCCAGTATCTTTAAATATTTAAACAAACCTAATCATGAAACACGTATCAAGAGGTGCTGTTTCTGTGTTTCTTGCTCTTCGCTTTGCCAGGTTCGAATTCGTCCTCGCTTCTCCTTCGTTTCTCTTTTAACTGTTTTTCCATGGCTAGCATGGTTATCATTCTCTTGTGGGAATCCCCTACGATCCAGCCATGTTGCTCCTGACGGTCATCCTCCTCTTCCTCCACAGTAGGGACCNAAAAACTACGGTACTTAGAATTATGTGCATCAACTAGGCGTACGAAAGGAAAGTTTTCTATCATTTCTCCTCTGCTTTGTTTATTGTAAGCTTGTATATTCCTTAAATACGTGGCGATCATCACAAAATCATTGATGACGCGACATGAGATCTAGGAATTCGAACGCATCAAACGGAAACAAGAGGTTTTGCATTGAAATGGTTATGAACGCGCAAAGCAAATCCTCGAAACTCTTGGATTTCTATTACAAACAACTACGAAAAGGAAAAACTCGTACGGCCGAGTAAGGCCGACCATGTTTTCGTGTTTCTTCTTTTCAAATTTCGCGATATGTACGATCACAAGAAAACAAAAGCCAGCGAAAGCGCTATACTCGATTGGACCCCAGTTTACAATCGTCCTTCAAACAATTAAATTTGCCACCCTCCTTTCCCTACCCCATTTCCGTTTCGTGTACCAACTTAATACATTTTACTTCCTCTTTTTTTTTAATAATATTTTTGATCAGTCACCTAAAGATCATCCACTAGGGATAACTAAACGTTACAAATGTTCTAGGTATTGTCTAAAGGTGCTCTTTTTTTATTTTCATACAATTTTTTTTGTCAGTTTCTCATGTAATTAATTGCGCTATTTCTCACATTCAGTCTAATGGTAGATAATATTTATAATATTTATAAGAGCTTGGAATCATAATTATCTCTTAATGTAAATACGAGCTTGCCCTTTAACGTGAACGCCAAGCTGCTATGTACAAGATTAACCTAACCTGCCCCGATCTTCTTTCTCATAAAAAAACACAAACAAAAAGAAAATTAACATCTCGGTACAATGCGACAACGAAAGAAGTCGAATTTCTTCTTGGCAGTACATTGCGATTTTGTTCATCGTTCGATAGAACAAATAAGCGTCGATTGTAAAAATTTAAACGCCATGTGTCTACGAGTAAGATCATTTGCCGTGAATTAAAAGAACATTCAAAGGGAAAAAGGAATTAAATTCGACGCCGATGTGTCCTTTTGCCTATTCGATAAAGAACACAGAGAAAGCTACCAGATTCATCTCCTCTCTCTCTACGACACAATTCATCCCCTAATTAGCTAATCCCAAATTTTCGTTCTACGAGATACGAACAGACTAAAAATTGTTTTGTTTGTAGTCCTTGTTGCAGCGTGGCAACTTGATTCATCTACTTCGATGAACTGAATTCCTTCGGTTACCACATACCTAAGACTAGTATCAAAAGATCTAGTTACGCTATACTTGTTACAAAAGTTCCACTTCTATTCTTTTCATCTAGAATCCAGACATGCGGTTTCTTTGATTTCTGTGGAGACACAATGTGCTAACCCAGAAAGTGTGTTCCTCTTATTTGAGGAATTGAATTTCTTTCGTCGCTAGCGATCACTGTCTTTTAAAGACCACTGTGTGTTCTCTCGATTAAAGAGGAAATACCTAAAAATTCTCCAGTATCTTTAAATATTTAAACAAACCTAATCATGAAACACGTATCAAGAGGTGCTGTTTCTGTGTTTCTTGCTCTTCGCTTTGCCAGGTTCGAATTCGTCCTCGCTTCTCCTTCGTTTCTCTTTTAACTGTTTTTCCATGGCTAGCATGGTTATCATTCTCTTGTGGGAATCCCCTACGATCCAGCCATGTTGCTCCTGACGGTCATCCTCCTCTTCCTCCACAGTAGGGACCACCTCCAATATTTCTTCTTCGTCGCTGGAACTAGACCAGTAATATAGCTGATTGGCAGCAGCACGTTTTCGACGACCGATAGCCACACCAACACCCTCTTCCACTTTGTTCCATGATTTCGTGGTCTTCAGTTCTTCATCATCCGAGTCTCTCCGACCGCTAGAAGATCTGCGCTCTTTATCTTTTGATCCTTTTGTATCCATTCTGCTTCTAGACTTGTCAGCAGTCGAATTCTTTCCTTTTTTACCTGACGCTGCAACTTTTGTCTCTCCTTTCGAATTCTTTTTAGGCTTTACCGGTGATTTCGAATGTTTCTTCTGCTTATTAGGAGATTCCTGCTTGTCCTCGCTATCCTGATTGCTTTCTGCATGAGTGGATCTATTACAATTGTTCTCAACGTCGCTTAACTGTTCATTGTTTTTCTTAACACTTGCATCATCCTCTGTTTTGCTCTGTTTCTTCAGCTTCTCTTTCGCTTGGTGTTTCTTCTTTCGCGCTTGTTCCTGAGCAACCTTGTTCTCCATCGAGTCTGTATCTCTTGGCTCAGTTTTATCATCGAAGTCTGCTCTTACGTCTGTAGTATTCTGCGTAAGAGATTCCTTCTTTTTTCCAAGTTCCCGCAAGATCTCATCTTCTATAGCCTTTTGTTCTTTAGCTATCATTTGTTCATGCTTTTTCTCTATATATCTTTCCTTGCGTTTTTCTTTCGATTCTCGTTTTTGTTTGCGTTGCTTCTCGTGATCCGATTTATCATTGGGTCTCTTGCTGTCCTTGAGGCTTATTTCTTCATCCGAACTGCTTATCTCTGCCAACAGTCCCTGCTTACCAATAGCACACTTTCTTTGCCTCCTGGTCGGTTGGAAGTCCATCAAGATTCTTTCTTGTTCTTCTTGAATCTTTTTTAATTGTTGCTCCTTTCTTTTCTTCGACTCCTGAACTTTTCTACTGAGAAACACGTGAAGTGGAAGGTTTTCAGACTCCTTTTGTGGTTTCTCGTTGGTAGAGAGTTTTTCTGGCAAGGCCAATACATCATCATCACCATCCTCGTCTTGCTCTTCCTCTGGGCTGGAACTCTTGTCTGCTGTTTCTTGAACTGGGTCGAAGTGCTCGTCTACAGGTTCTATCAACGCTACTGTATCGATTTGCTCTTCAGCTTGTACCTCTTTGTTCAAATTATTGTAGGCTGTTTCTAGATTAGCGTCAGTCTGATCCAGAAGGTCCAAGGCCTCTTCCAATGGAATAAGCTCATCCTCCCTTGAATAGTCTGCCTGGTCATCTGCTTTCTCTGGAGACAGGTTCTTCTCGTTTGATTCATTTAGAACATTTTGAACCTCTGTAATCATTGGCTCTTCCGCATCCGAATCAGCCACTGAACTATCCTCTCTGTACAAGTCATCTAATTCAAAGTTTCTCTCGTATTGATTTTCAGTTTCTTCGTCACTGATCCGTTGCTCGTCCGAATCCTTTCTCTCATCGATGACTAAAGGTTGGTCTGACATCTCCGACTCCGATTTCTTATTGTCACAGTCATTCTTGTTATGATCGTCGTCCCGCAAGCTCTGGTCTTTCCATTCGCCGTCCTCATTCTCCAAATGGTAATCCTCAATTATCTCCTGGCTCTGTCCAATGTTTCCTAGATCTATTACCTTCTTTGCAACCTTCTTCGCCTTTCTTTGTTTCTTTGTCTCATAGTCCACGCCCTCGTCATCAAACTCACTCTCTGACGAAGTGTACAACTCTGCAAAAATGTTCTGCTTGCCTTTGGAGCAGGTTCTCTGGCTCTTGGAGATCCCCACACCGACGTCCTCAGCTTTTACCGCAGTCCTGTACTCGTCAGAGCTGTCGTTCTCGTACCAGGCGTTTCTGGTCTTCTTTTTAAGGTTCTTACTACGTTTCTTCAGCTTCGAGTGCTTCAGGTTCTGCTCTACAACTCGTTTCGGCTTTTGTTGCTTTCTCTCAACAAACTCGTCCATAGGTCCAGTGATCTGTCGCTGTTGTTCTTCGCTCTGAAAAGCCTTCAGTGCACCTTTGGTCTTCGGAGCGAATTTCTCTAGCTCTTTGAACTTCCTATCTATCATTGACTCTAGCCTAGTGCTCAATGCATCACCAGTTTTCCCGTTCTCCAGGCTGTCGCCGATAGCCTTGGACATTAGTCCTGCCATATCTATATCTTTAGTCCTTAAACAACTCACTTCGTAGCTCGGTCTGTTTCTGTAGGACATCACGCCACCCAGGTTGGTTTCCATTTGACTCTCCTCCTCGTCAAACTCGTAGACATCCTTTATTCTATCTGATGCGAACTCTTCTTTCCTCTCAAAGCCGTCTCGACGCTTCTTCCTTTCAACCAACCCCCCATGGTCATTGCGACGGATCAGAGGGAAGTCCTGGTGTTTCTTGGCCTTCTTGGTCTTACGCTGTCTGTGCACATTCAGCTCCCGAAGAGCAGCTTCCGTCTTAGATTTCTCCTGCTGCTTCCTTTCGTTCATCTCCTTCTTCCTTTCAAACAGTTCCTTGATGGGGTTCCTAGCCTTTTTCTGCAAGTCCTTGGTGACGGCCAGTGGAACTGCGTCAGGGTTGGATTCCTTGTTCAGCGAACCAGTTTTTATCAAGGACTGAATGTCTTCCTGGGAGGTTGGATCTCCCGCTGTGGATGTTGGTGCCCGGGCACAGGCTAGCTCTGCTAGAACTTTCATTGGCGTTGATCCACTGTAGACAAAATTGTTGCAATATAGACAAACTGTAACAATTAGACTAATAACAATTGTTTTCTAATCATTATAATCATGCATTTACTGACAGCTGTTACATTCTAATGTAGAATAAATTACTTACTTGTGATCATGCTTTCCATTATTGTGGAGCAGATTGGATAAAGCTTTGTCCAACAAACCACCCAGTGCAGAGTTCATTTTGCTTTTGAACCCTGGAGAATCCAAATTCAGTTTTCCAGAGTTCTGATCTTGCAAACATCTGACATGCAAATCATTGCTGTAGTCTCCATTTGATAAGTTAGTAACAGTCAAGGGACCCTCGTCTGTCACATGAGTGTAAGAATTTCTCATAACGTTTTGTTCGGTGTTTTTCAATGGGTGTTCGCCATCTGCGATCTCGTTCTCGTTCTTATGGCCAAAAGTGCTGGCTATCAGACTTTCGCTCTCCCTCATACGTTGTTGGATCTTATCTCTGAGCTTGTTATTGTGTTCAAATGCTACATCCAAACTGTCCTCATATCCCAGATTCTCAGCTCTAGACATGTCTGGGCTGGCTGATCTGCTGGAATGTTCGCTTCTAAGATTTCGACTTCCTCGCTTTTGGTAACCCCTTTCTCTGGCACTGTACATCTCTTCACCAAGTAACTGAAACCATTTGAATTTATTAAATATTGATGAATTTAAGCTAATGTTCCCTGGAATTGAAACTCGAAGTATCTTTAGCACTGCTTTTAGTCTCTGTAAACATACAAAGTGGACCATTTTGAAACCTGTAGAAGATTTTTGAATTAATAAAAGCTATCTAAAATATATTCATATAATATTTGTAATTTTTTTTTTAATGGACCATTTTGTAACTGTCAGATACATGTTAACTAATTAGATTCTATTTTCTTATATTAATAGCCAGATGTCTTTGAGGAAGTTTAAAAGATCAATTTTTTGGATTCATTTTAGATTGATAAGATCAGGAAGAAGACTGTATACCGGTGAGCGTAATGTTAAAATTAATGAGGAGGGTTAGCAATGCCAAGCTGAACATTCTTCTCTACGAAAAAAAGGAAAGCTGTAAGTTTTTGTTCTTAAAAGAATGGAATGGGTATGAGAATTATACAAGTATGAAACTATAATTGTAAGATGACAAAGTGTATGAATCGAGAGTGAATTAAAAATTGTTTAGTAGCGGTCGGATTTCGTTATTTGTATGATCAAACCGAACAATCTTATGCGATATCATTGAAATGGCAGACAAATGTCATAACTACCGTACACACTAAGAAATGTCGAAGGAATGAGAGAACTACCTTTTGCATGCATACTGAGAGACATTGTCTGTATAAAGCTGGTTCATAGGTCCTGCAAACATTATCACAATAATGTATAAAGTATTTCCTTTGTGGAATTCCATGTAAGGGTGTAACCCATTTCACCATAAAATGTATTTAAAAATGTAAAATAAAACAGAACTTAATTGAAAATACAATAGCTGCTAAATGTCATAAATTTTATGAACAACTTGTATACCATTTTTCAAATTTCTCTAAACAATTTTGTACAAATCTTTACACTTTTATACTGTTTTAAGAAAATTGAGAAAGAGTGATAAATGAAGATTTTCAGATAGGGAAAAATCTATCCAATGGTTTCTAAACCATTGTTCAGGAGACACCCCTACAGATAAAAATTCCATGAGCATGTATAAAAGAAAATGAAATCTGCAGAATCAAAAGCTTTCTTTATAAGAAAAACATAGAGCACACTGAGTGAGATCATAAAGCAATGGCATAAAAATGGAAAAAATGAAAAAGGAAAGAAAGACTGCATGCAATGTGTAGTGTTATTGTGAAACAGTGAACTTTTAAAAATTTTATAAAATTTGATATCTTCTGGATTCGAGAATGCTCCAGAACGTTCTCAACTTACCGTGGAACTTTTAATTAAACACACTCTCTTACTTACTACAATATTGAAAAGATTATTTTTTAAATACAATACAATAGTGTTAAGTCAATGCAAAGCCATTAAACATTATAAATTCAGAATTTAAATAAGTAGAACGTTCTCTTTTGATTTAGAATCCTTACTAAGCATTGCAACAACTTAATACAACAATTCACACACTATTGAGTCTTCTTCATCGCGAACTCTTACGAAATTTAAAACGTCGATTAAACTCCAAATTGCAAAGCATGCAGTTTCGACACTCTATCCAAATACTCACCTGATTAACGGATTCCAGGAGACTCCCGAGGCTATTTTGGCTTTCAACATCTCTCCACCGGTCTCTGGGCCCTCTGAATCCTAGGTGCTGATCCTCTTTCCTATGGTAACCATCGTTATGATCTAATTTGATCTTCTTGGCTCCCCTCAGCTCGTTCTCAGTGGTAGCTTTCAACCTGGAGCAGCACTCGACAAACAATTCTTCATCAAAGTTCAACACTTTCCCTTGCCTGGGTTTGGCAGCCTCTATTTCCTGGGGAACATCTAACGCATTGTCCTCAATTGCATCGGTGGGTGCAATGGTCACCATTTCAGTCTTATGAGTGGAAGAGGGTGATCGGATAACTATCTTTCCACTGGAAAATTCGCTGGAACTTCTCTTCCTCCCTGCGACTTCGCTGACAGTCATTTTCTCATCTTCCTCTTCGTTCTCGCTATTCGAACTACTCTCGATAGAGCTTCTAGGTGTTCCACAAACAAATAGAGGCGATATTCTCCTGTGCCCTAACTCCTCCTCATTATCTTCTTCCTCATCAATATCAGAATCTCTGGTGGTATGAGAATTCCTACCCACGCTGGGTGATCTGTCCCTTACGTCGCTTTGAGCCAGACTAGTGCAACTGCTTGAAGACTCCAGATCTACAGATAATTGATCGATCAACGTATCTCTCTCAGGCAGATCCTTTACGGAACAGTCATCTTCCTCTTCAGAGTCCTTGGTGCTCTTCTCTGCACTCTTCTCCATAGAGTCTCTCCAATTATTTTCGTCATTCTTGCTTTTACTTTTTCTAGAGGCGGACAACTTTCTCCTCTTGATCGGCATCCTGTCATCTTCTGCGGACTCTTCCAGGGCTTCCAACTTCGACGGATCGTCTTCATAATTCAAGGATCCATAACCATTGTCCTTGACACCCAAATCTTTTCCCTGGTTTCTCAAATCATAGTTAACTTCTTTCTGCTTATTCTTTTGGATCTTGTTGCCATAAGAGTCAAATGTATCATCTTCGAAGGCTCTGGAGATCCTCTCTTCGGCTCTCTTCTTGCTGGGTCTGCAACTGGTGGGAGGCAGAACCAAGAAGTAGTAATTGGACGTTTCTATATCGCTCTTTTTCTTATTGCCAGAGTTCTTTGATTTAGCGTGTTTACCAGAACGATGTTCCTCTTGATCTTCAGCTGTAGCAACTTGATCTTTGACCTTATCAGAGGAAGAGTTCTTCCTTGACTTCTTACCTGTTCGTTTCTTTTGATTTGTGTGGGAAGATGATGAGACAGAATGCCTTTTAACGTTCTTGTCCTCGTGTTTATTATCTGAGCCTTCTTTGATCTTCAGATTATGATGACTGTCAGATCTTGATGCATCCGAATCATCTTCTGACTTAGACACCCAATCGTTGAGAACCTCCTTGACCTTATCCGTCTTCTCACCACCAAAAACTCTCCCGAATACGCTTTTAACAATTTTGCTTTTGTTCTGGGATTCCATCTTGTCTTCTGTGTCGCTATCATCACTATCACTAGTGATACCAACAATTTTACTTCTTTGGGACATCTTTTTGCTTCTAGATTTTCGGTGTACATCCTTGCTACTGTGTTTATGCAACTTTGACGACTTTCTATTCGAATTCTGACGGTCACTGGCATTTGATTTACGACCATTGCTAATTGCTTTCGGCTCTCTATCGTCCGGAGTATCCTTTGCCTCTGGAACAGTCTCCGTGTTCTCGTACTCTGATGAGATCTTGTCTGTGTCTTTATCAGAATCCTCCGTTGGTTTCAATACTTCAGATTCGTTCTCAGATGGAATTTCGAGAGCAGCCACTTCCACATTCATTGGCTCTTCGTCGATGGATTTTGGAGTATCGACATGAGCGTCTGACTCCATGTTATCCAAAGTAGTATCCTGGTTTTCTGTTATTTTTTCAGGCTTTGACTCTTCATGATTCTTCAAGAAACTCGGAGGCTGTTCCACCTTCTCTTGTTTCTTTTCCGTCTGCAATTTCTCCTCGGCCATCAATAAAATCTGTGACAGAGGTTTGTCATCAAGACTGGATAATGAAGCTTCGTCCACATCCTGGAAAGGCTTTGGTTCATCTCCTTCGTTGTAATTATGATCCTTCTCTACTGCCTTGTTCGACAAATTGTCCACATTAGAATAGAATTTCGAACTGTCGAGAACTTCTTCTTCATTGAATTTGTGCTCAGCATCACTACAAAGCTGGGTTACATTTCCCTCTATTTGCGAGCCACACGAGAATGATCCTGTTTTTTCATGATCACTTTCATAAAGTTCTAAAATTTTAGAACAATCGCTCGACTCTTCGTTTACAATCAGATCATTTGCAATCTCTGAAGGTTTTACGTATTCCTCCTGTAGTTGTTTACTTTGATTAACTTTGGACTTACTTGTTTTCTTAACAGACGAAACATCAGGCGAGTTATCTGTCAGTTCGGCATGCTTCTTACTTTTGCTCTTCTTGGATTTACCGTGTCTCGAAGTCTTCGTAGACTCGTTTTGCAAGCTTGGAGCATTCTCTACCTTATCTTCTATAACCAATGGAAGATTTTGATGGTTAAATGAATCATTCGATCTAGGCTGATCTGTTTCCACGTTGTTCTTAACATGATCTCCTTGATATACCTCCTCCAGGTTATTAAACAAGTCTACATTCATCCTTGCATCAGGTTGCCCGGTTTCGGACTTCGAACGGTCTGCTTCTTCAATGGGCTCATTTTCTACGCCATGTTCGGGATTGTAAGAGCTATCAGTCTCTGTGAAGGTTACTACTTCGTTGCTGTTACTGTCTGATTTTTTAGGACATTCCTCGTTATATTTATTTATGGTATGTTCTAGGCTCAGAGGTTCGTGCGATTGATTATCTTGTGAGGTAGGATTATTGTCCGCATCAGTGTCTAGGAAATTCTCAGTCTTCTTAGCAGAATGCTCTATCAGATCATACAGCTGGCTATCAGAACACTCAATCGCCTCCTTCTGTCCGTTTAGCTTCACAGTTTCCACTTCCATTTTACCTGATACGAAGATATCGTCGCTTTGCAATTGTTTCTTCTTGAATTGCTCCTCTTTTTCTATCGGATCTAAATTGTTCGTAGAAATAGGATCATCTTCGGCATCTTTCAAAATCTGACTTTCAATAACTGAGGTCTCAGAAGAGTCGATGTACGAAGACTCTGAAATTTTCAAAGATGCATTGGTATCTAGAACATTTAATGTGAGTGAGTCCAAGAGTGCTTCAGGATCAGAAGTGTCAGAAGGCAGATGTTCATCCACCAAATTCTTCTTCTTCTTCCCTTTGTCTTTCTTTTTCTCGTGTTTCTTTTTCTTTTTTTCTGTTTCATCCTCTTTCTTCGTCTCTGCCTTTATGGGCGTCGAGGTGCATTCTGGAAGGGGACTGGTATGTTCAGTGAGCACGTACTCATCGTGACTCATGTTCTCGGTGATCTTGCAGATCTCTTCATCCAGAAGTTCATCCTCCAGGGTACGCTGTTTCATTTGGGGATCTATCAGCAGTTCTGGTTCCACTGTAGCTGTATGAACATCTTCTTCTAATCTTCTTAAGCTGTCCAGCTCCTCTGAGTTGCCAGGTGTGGGAGAATTAGATTTCATCTGCTCGTTACTACACTCTTGCGAGGTGCTTATAGATTCATTAGTGAAAGTCTTACTCTCGCCGCTCAGATTTTCATCCTGACTTGATTGTTCATTTTTCCAAATAGCGCTACTTGCTACTTCACTGCTTTCATTGGCTGTTTTCTCTTTTTTCGAATTGATTATTTGCAGTAAGTGGGACTGGGATAAGTTGTGCTTCTTCAGGGAACTCTTCCTGGTGAAGCTGGTTGCACAGACATCGCAGAAGAACCTGGCCGCTTCCTTCGTCAGCTTCTTCCTCTTCTCTACAATCAGAATCTCACCTGTCTTCTTATGTACCACTACGAAGTTACCTGCTGCACGTTTCTTGGGTGTCTGGAAATCTTCCTGTGTCTGAAGAGTGTCGTCTGCTTTAACTTCCATTTTCTTAACGTCCTTCGACTCTTCGTTCTCTTCTTCCTTTTCTTCTACAACCGATTTCTCAGATTCTACAGATTCCTCGGGCTGTACAGGCTCTATCGCTACTTCATCTTTCTCTATTACCCTTTCTTCCTTACTGTTCTCCTTGTTAGTGTAGTTCAGTGTTACTTCTTCATCTACCTTATCATTTGTAGGAGCTAATTTCACCTCTAAATCTTGTGGAATGTTTTTCAGAGTTTCTTCTTGATCCAAGCAATCTTGAATGTCGATGGGTATGTCAAAGTCATCGACAAGGTCAAACTGGTCTTCAAAGAAGGATATATTCTTCTTGGCTCGCCTGGTCAAGCTCTGCCTTCTATCGGTGTTCTTTTGTGTATCTGTGGACTCAGAGTCAGTGACTAAAGCATCTGTTTGAACATTTTCAGTAGACTGCTCGAAGCCTTTCTTCTTCTTGGAGAACCGTTTTTTCCTGAAGTAACTCGACTCGCTGACACAAGAGCTTTCAGATAAATTATCCGTGCTCTCCGGTCGATGGTTCAGGTTCTCTTGCTCCGACAGATCTTCAGACGACAACTGTTTTCGCTTCGAAGACCTTGTCCTATTAGTCTGACTTAAATCAATCGACCCAGAGGAGCTGGATCTTTCAAGTAGAAGCCTGTTAGTGCTCTTGGAACGTTTCCGACCTTCTGGTAAGTCCTTCTGCGAATTTTCAAGTTCCTCTTCTTTCTCAGTGTCGGCCTCAAGGCTTTCAACGCTGCTTACTTCAGATTCCGCTAGAGAAGGGTTGCTTTGTGTTTCCATGTGCTCGTCAGCGGTTGATTTTCTCTTGGATGTCCTTTTCTTGGTATGTTGAAGTACCTCTGTCAACTCTGGAATCTTAAAGTTATCTAAATTCGTGGACGTAGGTGGAACATCGGTGGAATTCTTGCATCGATCTTCAGTTTCCTCGGTAGTCCGGTTCGCTCTCGAGGATTTCCTGCTAGGAACCTGATTAGTGGCAACTGGCTCTGATTCCACAGACTGCACATCCATTTTAGAAGTCTCTTCAACATGGCTGGGTACTGCTGCAGGTTCACTGATCAACAATTTCTTCTTGCGGCCACGTTTCTTGAGTACCTTCGGGACTGCATCCGTCATATTTTGAGATTCTTTCAGGCTAACTTCCGGTGCAGTTCCACCACTCTCTTCTTCTATAGCTGTCTTTTGATTCTCTACGATTTGGGGACGAATGTCTTCTTCGACAACTTTTGATTCTATTGCAACAGAAGGTAGAACTTCCACCAAAGTATCATCCTTTGTAGTCTCATTCTTTGTAGTATCATTCCTTGTAGTCTCTTCACCAGACTCTACTGTCATATCGTTACCAGTGACGACATTCTCATTTTCTTTTGGTATCTGTTCTTCGTTATTTGATTGAATATTTAATTTTGACCTCAACGACCTTCTTCTTGTGGTCTCAACCGCCTCTGGGACAGTTTTGGAAGATGCTTCTTCTTCTTGATTGATTTTCTCTTCTGCGAGTGATCTCCTTTTTGAAGACCGTCTGACTGACTCTATTTCTGGTACCCTTTCAATAGAAGACTTTCTCTTCCCCGTTGCTTGCTGAGGTATAGGTTCTTCTTGCTCAATACTGACCTGAGTTTTCTCCTTATCAACGATTGAAATCTTCTCCACACTAACAACTGGAATCTTCTCTAGATCAATGATTGGAGTCTTCTCTTCGCCGACAACTGGAGTCTTCTCCTCACTAACAATTGAAGTCTTCTCCTCGCCAACAATTGAAGTCTTCTCCTCACCAACAATTGAAGTCTTCTCCTCAACGTTGCCTTGAATCTTTTCTTCAACTTTTACTTCAGCCACCTCCTCCTCCTCAGCAGATACAGGATTATCAGATACACCAACCGCTATTTTATTTTCTTCATCTTTTGCAGCTTGTGTTTCCACGGTCGTTTCAGTTTCCGGTTTAAACTTCTTCAACCCATCAGTGTTGTCCACAGCTGTATGCGTCTCACTGGTTTCGTTGATACTCGATAAATCCTCGTCCTGATAATCATCGTTCAGCGTCTTTCTTTTGCCAAGTCGAATCTTTTCAGTGCGCGGCTCGTCATTGATAGTTTCTTTGGTTGAAGGCACTTCCCTTGCTCTATTCATCAGCTTCAAGATGTTAGCAAGATGCGACTCGTCATTAATTGTTTTCTCTTCAACAACGTCTGCTGGATCAATAGACTTTCTTTTGTTCTTCTTTGGCGAATTTCCTTCTAGCGCTCGTTTCTTTGACTTTCTATTGATCTTCGTCTCCTGTGGCGTTGGTTCCTCTTGCTTCTTCAACGTCTCATCTCCTTGTTTGGCTGCGCTCGATTCTATCAAAATATTTGTGGTGTATTCTGAAATCCATTCAGGCACTGGAGATAGAATTCCATTTGGAATAGGTACGGTCTCTTTAGCAAACGTCTTCGGATCGCCAAGGATACTTTCCTTGATCTCGGGTAAATTATTGTCACCTTTATTCGAGGATTCTGATTCGGATTCCTTACACAAAGTCTTCATCGAGGTCTCAGATTCAACATTTTGATTTAAATAGGATTTCTCGTCGGAGGATTCCCCTTTCACTTCTACCTCGCTACTAGCTACATCATTGACCATTTCCATCTCCTTTTGTTTATCAAGTTCAGCATCCTTGTATTTCAAATCAGGAGCTGATAAACAGTTCTCATTGCTCGCTTTCGTTCGGTTGACACATTGAAGTTTTCTTTGAATCCTAGCTTTGCCATTCTTGCTATCTGCTGAACCCTCGATTCTTTCCGCGAGAACAGGCACAACCTCATCAAGAATACTAGTGAGTTCGTCCGCAGCTGTGTCCAACAATGAACCAACCTCGCCCTCCAGCAAAGCGTCCTTCTGTTTAGCTATCTTAGAGACAATTTTCTCTAAGAAAGAGCCTTTTCCTTTCTGCTTTCTCCTGGACAAGTCCAAGATGATGTCATTGGTTGGCTCCTTGTTGACGTTAGGGGTCGGTTCTGCCTGCTGAACCTTAGCCGATGGGACCTCCGCGTTCGATTCCTTCTCAGACACTTTCGGAGCCGACGGTTGCGGTTTCTCCTCAGCACTTTCAACACAGGCGCTCGGCTCTTCAGTCGGTTTATCAGGATCCTGACTAGTTTCAATTTTCTCATTATTTTCCGCATCCAACGATTTAGAGATTTCTTCTTCAGGTTGCTGAGCGCTGGTCTGTAGAGATCCGTCAGAGATCGTATTTTCCACACTCGTCTGAACAGTCAGGACCACGCTTTGCTGAGACTCCACGGGGATATTCATGCCTTCTGTGAGGATACCAATCACGTTGTTCAGTGACCTCTTTGACGTTTTCTCACGCCTGGACCCCCAGGACTTTCTCGGTCTTCCAACTTTCAGTCTCTGAACACCGATCACCGTTTCCAGAGAGTTTTCCTTGCCACTGTCTATGGAGCTGCCAGTCTCCAGTTGCAAATGGTTCACGCTCGAACAGACATTTTTCACTTCGATGTGTCCTTTTTCTTTCTCAGATTTCGGTTGATCCACTTTAACTAAACCCTCTTGTTTTTCTTGCTTATTCTTGCTCGAACTATCATCCTTTGCTGACGCTGTTGTTTTATCATCCGCATTTTCTTCATTACTTTCTGTATCTTTATCCAAAGTCTCCACTTCGGTCGGGCAATTTTTACCAGCCTCTTCGCTCCTCGACTGGGACATCTCAACATTTTTCTTGTCGAGGGTGTCGTTGCTACATTTAATCCGACCACGCCTCTTACCAAGCGAGGTGGTCTTCTTCAGGGGCATTTCGTTTGATTCTACAGGGGTCTCTTTGGTCTGCTGCTGATCCCCGTCCGTGGTATTCATCAGCGAACCTCTGGTTTGCCTTTTGTTACTTGTGTTTTCGTGTTCAATTTCTGGAGACTCGATTTCTACTTTGGATAGATCCTCAGAAGTCACTGGACTCACACTGACCGTTGACTTAGTCTCATTGGAGAGACCACCGCTGTTTCTTCTTCCTTTGGCAACTGCCTTTACTTCGTTCACAATTTTGTTCACCTCTCCTGAATCCAGCTGATCATTCTTGCTTGGTACCTTATCTTTCTCTGGCTTCTTCTCCGTCTTCCTCAACGACTTTCTCCTGAACTCAGGCTTCTCCTTCTTTGTAGACATTTCTGAAATGCATTCTGGATCAGGGACCGTTCTTTCCGGCTCTGAATCTTTCTGAATTTTGCTCTTACCTGGCTCGTCCTTCGGCTTCGACGCTGGTTGCCTCAGGCAACGCTTGGAACTGGCAACCCTTGACGTTAATACCAACTTGGTCAGTAAGTCATCCTTGTTGCTGGATCCTATCAGCTTTTTCACCTCAAAAGGTACGTTCTGAATCTTTATTTCAGAATCAACAATAGTCTTGTTGTCCAGCTTTGCTTTGGAGTTGCTCCTGGTCTCCAGTGTTTTCTGCTTCGGATCCTTCTTCGGGGTCGTTTCTTCTGGTGTCTTCGTCGCACTCGCCTTCTTTTCTTCAGCATTCGCCAACCTACCTGGCGCACTCTTCCTCTTCATCTTCTCTTTAACAATTTTTGGCTTCTCTCTCATAGAGTCGTCCTTGGCAACGTTCTCCAGGTTCTTCTCTAGATTCTTAACGTCCCCTTTCTGTCTCCTCGTTTTGGCCTGCTTCAAATCCTTGTCCTCTTCGATTAGACTATTCTCAACATCCTTTTTCTCTTCCACCTCCGCGATCTGATCCTTTTTAGGGCTCTCTTTGTCGTCGACGGTCTTACTAATCAGATTCTTACCTCGCAATACCTTCTCTGTTCCTGACCCTGTAGTAACCGGAGAAAGGATTGGCAGGTCATTCAGCGAGGTCTGGACATCCTCTTCGCTACTGGACATTATCTGCACCGCAGGCTCCAACGTTGGCATTTTATCACTATCTGAAGACAATCTAGTGATCCTCTTCGGCAATTGGTCGTTGGTTTTGCTTTTAAACACTCCTCCTCTCAGCTTCGACCTGGTGACGGTCTCTGGACTAGCTTCGTTGCTCTTACCTTTAGTCACTGGGCGACCCGGTGATTTCACCTCCGGCGACTTTTGAGGACTCTTGTTGGGATTCCTGGCAAATTTTCCATCCTGACTTCTAAGTTGCGACTTCGCTTTGATAGACGCGTTCAAAGAGGCGACAGGATCCACTGGCCTCTTCTTTTTAGGGGTTGTCTGGATGGACAGCTTGTTCTTCGTTGGGCTACTGGAGGATTTCGACTCTGGAGAACTGATTTCGGATTCTGACTCCTTGTCGCTAGCTTTGGGCACAGATTTCATATTCTTTGGGGTTTTCGCAGGTTCGTTAGGGGTGTCCACTTTTGCCTCGGTGGGGTTCTTCACTGTCAACTTCGCTCTGGCCTTGAAGCCGCCTGGTTTCTTCGCTTGCTCGAGGCTCTTGATCGCTTGCTTGATCTTGATGTTTCTCTTTTTGTTCAGAATCCTGGGTCCTCGCATGACCTTCGTCCTGGCGCCTAGTTCCGGTTGAGTTTCCCTTCTCGCCTCATCTTCTTTCTTCTCTTTGGCATCCTTTTCGACCTCCGCTTTCGTCGACTCGGCCTTCTCCTGCTCGGTGGGCTTCTTCTCCTCCGTGTGGTTGTAGTTCCTCACCACGCTCTCAATCACCGCCGATATGTTGTCGATCCGACACCGGTTCCGCTGGATCGACTTCGCGTTCTTCAGCAGCTTGTTCTTCAGAGCCGCCTTGTTGCGGGACATTCGCGACGCGGTGGAATTGTCGCCGACCATTCGTGGTCTCGACCTGGTTTGTACCTGTACAGATAGGTAAAGCCTTCGTGGTACTACATGTGCTCAATGAGTGGGCGATAGCCTGAGAATAATCAAGAGGCTTTTTACGCTCGATTTGAGGCGGATTGGACCATAATACACCCCAGATCATTTTCTAGATTGCGCAATCGCTTCTACAATTCATATAAACATCGCACGATCTCCCTTGAATATTTTTAGCAGAATGCTACAGTATTCGGTAACTACCAAGGTTTATAGAACAATAAAACTTTCCTTTAATCTCAACAAAATAATTAAAACCTAAGCGCTTCGACAATGGTATCGCCTAAAACGATTATAACACAATTGTATTTGAATTGAAAAATTTGTACTTCAATAGTTCTGAGACAGCTTTAATAAGGGTAGTAGCTAAATTTATATATATATTAATTTATATATAAATATAGCTATATTTATTTAAATTGAAAGATCGTTTTTCAAAAATCCAACCCAACGCCAATATCATAAAACAAGGGGCTGATACTAGGATTACTTTGAGTCCGGCGAAGGTGACTACACTAACGTACCCTCGCAGCAAGGATCTAGAAAGAGGAGGGAACATGGTCACCAAGTAACCAGGAAGTGAAAAAATCATCCTGCCCATGTGACCACGGGACATGTTCTGTGTCAATGTGCGAGAGCCCACACCGGCGTGTCGTATTTCTCCGTATTCGCTTGTGTATGTGCGCATATAGACGTCCGTGTTGGGTAATCAATACTCCACTTATATCCGTGTCGTCCAGCCGGAGCCGGTCCGCCGCGTTATTGCCTTATCATTATCGAGTTTCATCTTTTTCGTACGAGCCGAGATTCGGGTCATCGGCTAGTTGCGGCACGTTTACCTAATTTCGAGCCAGATACATACGGTCCCGGCCCTAAACTTTGAACCAGGAGATCTCCTCTAGCTCATTTTCCCACAGATTTCTTGGCATTTGATGAAAGCTTTCCTTGACCACTTTCCCGGTTCGCTAGCTTGCCACTGGCCAACGCAAGCTGGCCAGTGAACCCTCGACCATCATCGCGTTTCCTATTTACTTCTTTCATTTTAGGAAAAGCCCTCCCCCACCCCCTTCCCTCCCACTTCATTTAAGGGGAACCATCCTCATGGTTCGAGAAAATTGAATTTGGTTTTATTTGATTTTTATTCAATAGAAGTTTAAAACGTATATAGTGCATAATCTTGTACATTTCTCAAGTATATCATTACTTATAAATATTCTAAGTTGATCCTCTTTGATAAAACAGGTTTCTCCACTTCAAAGTGTTGCAATCTCTATACCGATAAAAATTGTTAGAAAATAATTGATTACCTCTTTAGATAATACATTTATATTTAGTTAGATTTAGTAAAAACGTTTTGGCGAATGAGCTTTTCTCAGTTTCCTAAGTCAAAAAGTATTGGGATTTTTTATTTAGCATTTCATTTAACAAAAAAATCGCAAGCTTGTTCTTTAATTGGTATTCATCAATTTAATCCTAAGTTAGAATCCACTGTATCAGAGATGGGCAATGTGTAATCTGATTAGACAATACAGATGACAAAGCCACAATAATTAAATGATAACAAAGACACGACTTAGTGTTCCATATTAGTAGTAATGTAGTAAAGAGTTGAACAACTTTAAAACGATGTTTAGAAGGAAAATAATATAAAGTAGAGACAGTAGTGAAATTTGTATATTTATAACTTACATTGCGGAGTCTACCCTGTGTTCTTAGTGCACTATCTTGCATCACTTTTCTGGTAGCCCTTTTAGGAGGTAAGTTTGCCAACATCTTTTGAATGCTCTCACCTACAAATAAAGTCACATAAAACTAAATTATTAAAATAAATGATTAAAATGTAATTAATTAGTAAACCACGTATTAATTCCTCACATAAATACAAATTATTACTAGCTATGCTTTATATAAACTGGAGTTCTATAGAAATTTATTTCCTCCTTCGTTTATTCTTTTAAATAATTTAGAATTATTAAGGGTGATTCAAAGTAACGACCATTATACAAGAGGCACGTAAAACGTATGCCATATACATATTATGCATGGCCATAATACTCGTTCCGTTCTGTTGAATTTTTAATTACTCGAGGGCAACTGTTGCATTACATGAAATAGCCCGACATCGTTGCATTGTCTTAATGGTTCACCGTTTTTCCTAAATTTGCTCGCTAATCGCAATAAGATGTTAATGTTAAACCGGAATGATTAATAGGTTTTACGTTATCGTGTGCCAGCCAGCTGGCGAAATTATTGCGTGGCTGATGGGAAGTTGTCGGATAAATAATTCGACTAAATGGAACAAAGTTTTAATTAGTGCAGTAATTAAACGCTCTTCTGAACCCACGCAACAAATTCCACCGCCTTTAATATTCATATATTTGTATATGTTCTTTTTTGTTATTAACTTCCGTGCGCCTGTGCATATAATTTCTCTTGAAAAATATGACGCTACCAGAAATATTTTTTTAAATATCCCTTAAGAATTGTGGAAATTAAATTTGAATTAATGTCAGCCATTTTCCATTTAAAAAAAAAGAGATTCATAATATGTATTAAAACTGCGAATATTATCTTTACGAATTTCATCCCAAATTCTCTGGTTAATTAATCACCCCTGGTTACATTTCATAGGGACTTTCTTCGAACTTGTTCTTCCCCAATTCCAAGTTAACATACAAATTTCATAAAATTTTATATTTCAAATCTTTTTCCCCCAAAAGAGTTTGTATCGTTTAAAATTCTTAGGCTACAAGTTTTGTTAATTGAATAACATTATAAATAGCATCTTACACATACATTTTAGGGGAAGAGACTTACGGTCACTAGGTCTGACTCTAGGACCAGTCGGTTGTTTCTCTTTGGGGGTGGTCACCCTCGGTGTTTGAGAGTTTTGTATGTTCCTCTTCATCCCCCTCTGCCTTCTCCTTCTGCTGCGACTACCAAAGGGCCTCCACTTGCACTTTTTCTTCCCATTGCCAAAAAGTCCTAATAACCATGCCTGGTCTCCTCCGCATTCCAGCATGTGCCTGTGCAGCTCCGGCAAGGTGTTGCAGTTTCTGGAGCACTTGGTGCAAATTTTTTCGTCCAGGATAGCGGCTTTCGCTTTCGCTGTCGGCACGTCTTTGCCCGGCAAAAACAGGTGCTTGTACAGCTCCCTTTGGTCGCCAGAAAACTCGAAGTGCGAGCACCAAACGTTTGGATGAAACGAAGCTTTGTGTTCTTCCATCTCTCTCAAGGTGACCTGGAATCAACGTATAAAGATTCTAATTAAAAACAATGTTCTTCGTTACTTGAATTGATAAAAACATCTTACTATATGTTTTATTCACCGTTAGAATACCATACATTTTAATGATTTTGGTAATTGCTCTATCATTTACATTTGATATGTTGCTCTCTAAGGAGGAGGTTCATAAATTAATTATATCCGTATCAGGAGAGTAACCTCTTAAAGGAAATTAATTACTCCAAACTGTGATAAACTCAATTATTACATTTGAACACGGAAATGATGTTAACAGAGAGCCATTGATCAATCGAGATTCGTTTGATATCAACTAATTGCCAATCAATAACAGAAGACGTCCTTTCACTGGTCTTGATTTCGATCGATAGTTGCCAATCAAGCGGTTGATTAATTAACTAATCACTCGGTAATACCGGTGAAGACTGGGCGTAGAAGTATTCGGGCGGGATTAATTATCTTAAACGAATCTTTCCAATCAGATTTATTTTCTGAGTTGTTCTTTTATTTAAGAGCGTCTTGAAAAGTTTCTTGCTAGAGAAGTTGAAAAGTTTCAATGGGTTTTAATGGGTGCTTTCTCATTGAACGAACTTTAAGATCAATTTAAATTCGAACATCTTCAAAAGTTTTACAAAGACGCTGAATTCTCTCTGCATCTACTAGAAGAAACATGCGAAAATTCAAAGTGACTCACATGTTTGGAAGCGCATGCACCACAGATGTAGATCCGTGGCCTGGACCACTCCCCAGTCAGCTCAGCGTAGACAATTTCCTGCATTTTGGCCGCTTCGCTGGACGTTTTCTCGTCCCACTTCCGGAGTCTAAGGAAGCTGCCAAACTCCGCGCTGAACTCAGTGCTGGATGAAGGTATCAACTCGCAGCCGTCCGCTTTGCAGTCCTTTAACTTCGTGGCATCGCAACGTGACGTCTGCTCGTCGATGTTTTTCCTATCACCCGATAGTTCCTGAGAGTCCTCCGACTCTCTGACGCTGAGACTCTCATCCGGAACGATGTCGGTGACTTCGGGAACCGGTACCTGTCGTAGCCTGGTCAGAGTGACCCGTTCCTTCAGCAACTGCTGTTTCTTCCTGAGGGACAGTTGCGTGGAGATGTCGAACTTGCTGAGGTCCTTAATGGAACAGGTCCATTGCTCCTTGCCGTCATACTTCCTGGGGAAATTGTACTTCTCGAAGGACACCCGTCTAGGATGAGACCTGTTGCTCTTGCCAGGCTTCTGAGCGTACTCGCTGGAATTCTCATAATCCTCGTTATTATACTCCTTGGAGTAGACGGGTGTCGCAGCGGTCAAGGAGATATCTATGGGAAGCTGAATCTGACTGATGCTGTGCTCGTAGAAAGACTGCTGCTGCTGTTGTGGCTGCTGCTGAGGCTTTGGTTCTACCATGGAGGACGTTGGTGTGTTCATAGTAGAGGAGGAGCTCTGCAGCTTGCCATCCAAGTGATGAAGAAGGTTCTCCCTGATGTTGCAGCTGACGCTGCTGTAGAAGGAACTGTCGAACTCTGGACTGCCTGGGTTGCTGAAGATGTCCTTGGTGGGAACTGTTGGCTTCAGCAGGATGGATTCTGTTCTATGCTCGTGGTCAGACTCTTCTGGTCTGCGTTCTTTGGGATTTAGGGATTCGGGCTTGTCCCTGGTGCTCTGGTTACCTAGCTCTTTGATGGGGGAGGACTCCTTCATTTTTTCCTGAGACAGAATTCAAGAGATACGGTTACTTCTAGATCTGTATAGCTTTCAATTGATAAAATCGTTAAGAGGATATAATATAAAAGAACTTACCTGAGTCTGAAAGTTCCTGTCCGCATTCCCCCCATGATTCTCGCTTATGTGGCACACCAGAGCTTCCCTGGTGGGGTACCTTGTGGAGCATTGAACACAGGCATGGTACTTATCTCCATGGCTTCCAACCATGTGCTGGAAAAGACCCTCCAGACTCTCAGCACACTTTTCGGAGCAATACTGGCAGTTCTGAGAGGGTCTTCTCGAGTTTCTTTCCGATCGCCTGCCGCCCCCTTGCTGGTGAACTCTCTCGGTGTGTCTTTGCCGCAGAGATATGGAAAGAAATTTTCTGTCGCAGTATAGACAGAGGTGTCTGACCGTAGGGGATGGAGGTTTGAAAGGAGACTTCGTCCCCTGGGACGAAGAGGAGGAAGAAGAAGACGACGACGACGACGACGACGACGACGGCGGCAACTGAGGTCCTGCCGAATCATTCGTCTGACAATTCTGGAGCACAGAAGCTACTTTATCTAGAGGCAAACTGCAGTGAAGGCTTGTCATAACAAGATCCGGGTTTCTGGAGTTCCTTGTCTCCTCCGTATTGTTCTCTGGCGACTTGTCCACCTTTTCTTGACTGTTCTCATCGATCAGTTGATTGATACCGTTCAGAAGATCGTTCAGGAGGTCTCTGCAAACGTTTCGGAGTTCCACATTTTCTGAAACAAATTCCCTAGGGTCCTCCTTGTCAGAGTCTGCGCTTACTTTGTCATCCGCTTGATGATCGCTTAGCCTCTCCATGATGATCGTCCCGAGCGAACGGTTCTCTTTCTTTTCATCCTCTTGGCTCTCATTCTTCGCAGCATCCAAGCCTTCAGACTTCGTTTCTTTGGAAGAACACGTACCGTCTTTACATGCATCCTCATTGTCGATGCTGTCCGCCTTGCAAGTCTTCAGTTCCTCTTCTACCTCGTTAGGTTTCGCATCCAGAGAACTGGAATCCTCGCACTGCACCGTACCCTCGTCTCTCTCATTCGACTTCTGATACTCCAAGCAAGGCTCTTTACCAGCATTGCCGCCGACAACGTTCTCAGACGCCTCGGACTGCTCTAAAAGGAAGACAGCAGTCTCGGTCCTGCTCTCGTTTGGCTTCGAAGGCTCAAATTTAGCTCCCGGACCTTTGGAGTCCTCGTCCTCGTGATCCTCGGCCAACTTCTTCGGCTCCACGCCCTTGTCCGCCTCCTTCTTCTGCCCTACGTCGCCGTCCTCTTCGTCTTTGATCACACCGTTCAGCACCGTCATCACATATTTCTCCAATGTCTCCAGATTTCTCTCCACACTGTTCCTATCATCCTCCTCTTTCCTGGCAGAGTCCCCGTTCCTGGGGTCGGGCACCTTTTTCCTGAGGTTGTTTATCACGTTGCTCAGCCTGCTTCTCTTGTCCTGAGCCGTCTGGGCGGATCTGTAGGTGTGCCCGTGCTTTTCCTGCTGCTGCTGCCGATCACCGTTCGCGCTGGCTGGATGGCTCACGCCCAGATCGTCGAGATTGTGCGTAGAGGCGACCATTCTGGCGTCGACGCTCGATGGGGACGACGCTGTCGTCGTCGCGGCCGTGGTCGGCGTCGCCGTCGTTGCCGGGGAGAACTTCGCCGCGTGAAACACCTCGGCTGCTTCGCTACTCGTCTTGCTACCAGCCACGTCTGCGGAGGCAGCTTCTGAAATGAGAAAACAATTGTTAATCAAGGTGTTCACAAATGTACGACCGTCGTCTGTATGCACGTGAAAAAATTCAGAACAAATATTTTGCTATTATTTTATTCTGCTATTTTATTATTGTTCTGTGACTTGTTGTTGCAGTTCGTATCTACGTTCGTCAAATCCCCGAGCAATTGGTCAGCCAATAATCCAAACATCGGTGACAAGCCCGAACGACAATCTAAAATATTGACGGTGTATACGCGTGTTTGAAATAAATAACAATATGCTGACCATGCGAACGAATATGAATGAAAAACAAGCCCGGTTACATGAGCATTGAATAAATCAATAACTCCCTGGTTGTCTTGAAACAATAATAACCGCGGCAGCTTTTTGCAGCTGAATGCAGCAGCGAACGGCGAAACGTTTGTTTTATCACAGCGTGGAATTAATGTGCTTTAACGCTAAATCTCATTAATGAAGCCGTAATAGAAGCACAGCTAGCGTTGATTTCCATTCACAGTCCATATTTTAAACATTCATAAACCGGCTTGATTGCTCTCTCATTAAAAGACGTGTTACACGCAGAATACTACCGTTCGCATTGACCGAGCCTGCAATTAAAGAGATTCACCGACAATTCTCGTTTCCTAATGTCACGATTCAAACCGACTGTGCAGAATATTGAATCAACCTCTCAAGGGAATCTTGTTTCTTCCTAGGGAAAACAGATTTACATGAAGCCAAACAATCTTCGCAATAACACCGACGGAATAAGTTCGCCGATTCTCGTTTAATATCCCGTATAGAAGTTATTAAAGCCAGACCGTAAGCCGATTAAGTCGTTTTACGGGTAGGGGGGCTGACATTCAGGCTGGTACGAAAAAGCTCGCGAAGGATCCCGCCGTTGCACCTGGTCCCGGTAAATTGAATCGTTGGACAAGAAAGCTCCACGAGAAAGTAAAAACTACATTTTCATTACGAAAGGTGCTGGATGCTTCGTCAAAGACAGCCGCCGAGGAAGGCGTTCGCAGCCGAATTGCAAAATTCTGGTTTTCCTTCGCTGCACATTGTACGCGTGCAGATTAAGTTTGGGGGGTAGCTTGTGGACAACATTGGTAAAACCACGGGTCAGCGTTAAAATGAAGGTCAGCATTAGCGATAAACTGAATTATTTTGTAATTTAAATCAATGTGAAATCTGCCCAGCCGAATTATGCCTGGCACGTGTGCCAATCCAGGGAAGGATAATTTCCATCGAGAATTACAATTTTAGTGCATGACCTTGAACTGGCAGCCATGTTTGGAGCAGAGTAGATGAAGCAAGAGCCCCAATTAACTGTGGAGATGCTAATCCTAGGAAGTGTGCGCGCTAAGCAAGAAGGGAGCGTTTGTATTATACCTGCTCCCCTCTCTATCACACGAGGCCCAAGAAAATGAAATTACAGGGTACAGCAATCCATAATCCTGGAGGAGAAACCTGATTCAGAGGCCCTTCGGATTTTCAAACGGGGCTAAGACGAGCATCGAGGAACTTAAATTAGAAACTTGACGGATCGAAGATTCAAAGGCTCGTGATATACGTAGCTATTAATAGACGGCAGTCTCAACAACGAGAGAATTAGAATTAGATGAAAATTGTAGACCCGATTCTCTCCTTGCTACGGGGGACCGGCCGCCGCCGGTCAGGTATAGTCGTAGGTTCATCGAGATTGGAATGCCGAAGGGTCCGCTTCGGTCGAGATGCGTTTATTTTCACGGGCGAAACGCCAAGTGGTGCGCTGACGCTGTGTCCAGAGAATCGCGTTTGGATATCTCGTTACTCGTTCACGAGCTTTTCCGCGTGAACCTTCCTCTGGAATTGAAGCAATTCCCAGAAACTAACCCGGCCTCAACGAAGGAAGAGAATTTCTATTAATCTTTTCCCAAGGGCCGTTCATAATACGAAAGTACATTGTACATCGTTTTCGATGTAAAGAGACATTTTTGGATTATAATAAAAATGTGCTTTACCTGCTAAAAGCACGAAAGATCGCTCGGATCAATTCTGTGCCTTTCGGCGAAACAATTGTTGAATATAAATGTTCGGAATTTTGAGATTTTTGCCCCCCCCCCCCCCCCCCCCCCCGAAAAAAA